TTCTGTAATATATCTCCATAGTAAGAAGAAAGCCAGATAGTTGATCAGACGTTTCTCTGAGCTTCTGGGTGCTCTCTAGTGTTATGTGTATTATTAGAAAATAATTATGTTAAAGAAGTTTTAAAAATAACAGTGTCCTGGGCTGCATTAGGGGGAGTGGTGCCAGCAGGTCAAGGCAGGTGATCCTTCCCCTTGCCTCAACACTGTGAGGCCACACCTGCAGTTCTGTGTCCAGACTTCAGTACATCACGAAGATCATTACAGGACTGGAGCATCTCTTATATGAGGAAAGGCTGAGTGAGCTGGGATTGTTTAGCCTGGAGAAGAAAAGGCTCAAGGGATATCTCATCACTGTGTACAAATAGCTAAAGGCAGGATATAAAGAAGGTGGAGCCAGGGTATTTCCAGTGGTGCCCAGTGACAGTACAAGAGGCAATGGCCACAAACTCAAACACATGAGGTTTAACATCAGGAAAAAGTTTTTTACTCTCAGGATGACCGAGCACTGGTGTAGATTGCCCAGAGAGGTGTGGAGTCTCCCTACTTACGATCCAAAAGCCATCTGGGCAGCTGGCTCTAAGTGTCTCTGCTGGAGTAGAGGGGTTGGACCAGAAGACCTCCAGAGGTTGCTTCCAACCTCAACCATTCTGTGATTAAAAATCAGACTACTGCTCTTCTGTAAAATTCTGTGCGTTGAAACACTAGAGAAGAAAGCAAGTACCAGTAATGTTCAGAAATGCTACAGTCCTGTGGTGCCTGACATGACCAAATATATGGATAGCACTCTTACAGTCAACTCTTCTAGGCACATGGCATATAATTACATATAGTGTCTGCGTGCCTGCTAATATAAGCTTTCAGATTAGTTTTGTGATTCTTTAGTGCTGTTGTAGTAGTGTCTTTCAGTAGATTACGTTGTTTTGGTTTTGAAATGAAAGACCTTTTAATTACTTCGCAACAAATTATTATAAAAGATTATAAATGATCTGTGGCTTAGTGGCATATAAAAGATTTGTTTATAAAACAAAAGGCTGCTTATGAAGGGGTTTATGACCCTCAGAAAGACTGCCAAAGCAGTGAAAAAAGAGTCTTTACTGTGGAGTTACAGTTGATGTGCTCCTTTTAAGATTGTATGAAAATATGAATGAAGGGACTTGATAGCATCTTATGTCTTCTATAATGCTTGGTGAAAGGCTTTGTCCCCATTGATTTTATACTTCCATTACTATGCCTTGGTGTCATATGACATCTAGCCTTTCTAAGTATCACTGCCCCTGGCACTAAGTATTATGGCTTTATCTGTTTACATTATCGTTCTCAGTTACTGGGGAGATTTTTTTATTTCATTAAAGAACATACATTAAAAATATATTTTACAAAAATTGTATATAGTTTGAGTTTCTTTATTACAATGTATAGAAAAATAAGACAAAAGCTTTTAATATTACTGCTAAATATGATCTATAATTAATATACAATCACTGTGTTGGCAATTTGTTATACTTGATTTAATGTGCAGCATAGTTTACTGAATGCAGTATGCTGTATTAGGTGCGGTATTTATCATTTAAGTCCATGCATATATCTACAAAACTGTGTTATATTTGAAACTTTTTCATAAACGCAAAATGATGCCTACTTTCCTAGAATGGCTGTCACCTGTAGACCTTGAAGTATTTTTCTTGAGATTAGTAAATGATGATAGCACCTTTATAGGAATAATGCTAGTAAGTTTATGTGAATAATGTAACAAATATTATGTTCTTTTAAAATCAGGCTACGAATAAGTTATAGGGCTTCAAGAGTCTCTCTGTGAAACATTTCTTTGGTACATTGTATGAATACTTCATTATATTTTATGCTGTCAGTTCTATTACGTAATTTTTTTCTTGTTGGCATATGTGCAAGTGAATAAGCTACTGACTTTTAATTGTGCAGCCAGGGTTAGAGTTGCTGTGTTGTGCTCTTCTTTATTTTAACTTTTGAGTTGAATGTAGAGAATAAAAAGGTGAGGGAGAAAGGAGGAGATAACAGACAGGCAGACAGTGTTCTGTAGTACATCTCCATAATAAAAATAAAACAGATAAGTGACCAGACTTTTGCCTGAGCTTCTGGGAGCTCTTTAAATGTTGCAAACCTAATTGAGTGTATTGGCTTCAGCAGTTATATAGGGATAGTCCTCATAAAGCTTAACAGTATATGTGTCTAGGGGCTGCCTGTGTGTGTATTTATGTAAAACTTTAGATGGTAGGAAAAATACAAACATTTTGTTTACAGTAGCCATTCCAGAGCTGTCTCAGTACCATGCCAGATCTGAAAATCATTGACATTTTGAAAATAAGGTGTCAGCTTATAAGATGACTTCTAGGTGAGTCCTATTGTTTCTTGTGTTAGAAGACCACAGTAGAATTAGGTGCAGGAACCACTATATTCAAGAATCATGAGTAACTGATCCCTTCCTTTCTTGACACTAGAATGCCCAGAAATTGAGAGCTCTTAGCAAGCCATGAGAAGTTCATTGCCTCAGTCAGGAGAGATTTTTGGTGATCTACAGTCACGTGTTGAATTCAGACTATTGGAATTCCTTGGTCCCTCCTCAAATCCATGTTGTGCTCAGTATTCTTCCTAGTCCATGAATGGTCAATTCTTAAGAGTAAGAACTTGGGATACTGTTTTTTTCATGGAGCTCTGCTTATCTTACTCCAAGCTCAGAAACCTTGTGTGTCATGGGAGACATCAATGTGCTATAGGTGTATGTAGTACACTGGATGTAGTATGCTGGATATATTATGCTGTCCAGTTCTGTACAGTTGTTTTATTTACCAGGTTCTAGATCTCAGGCAGCCCATTTCCAGTGGCTGTGTTAGGTCTTGTCACACATTTCTCATAACATGAAATATCAGAGGCACCGTGATGGATCTTGAAAGATACGCTGCATCATCAAGGGTTACAGGCCTTTATGATCATAATCAAGTTTGTTCATTAGTCACGCTGTTACTTATGTTAGATAAGGGTGCTACCTTTTTTGGGGTGCAGCTGGCTTCTGTTCTGTACTTCTATAATAAACCAGTAGTGTTTTGGTCAGCTACCATGTTTCAATGCATTATGGAAGTCGTAGCACTATTAGCAGTGGTAGTAGTAGCACGTACTGAAAACCAAGAAAAAAAAAGTCTCATGTTTGGGAAAAAGTGAACCATGCAAGTCTGTAAAATGGGCTCCAAATGGGGCAAGAGTTAGCTTAGTACAATAGCTATTTTATTCATCCAGACAAAAGATGATGTGAATTCAGGGAAATACAGAGTAGACAGGTTTTCCCTTACGTGCTGTGGACTTGTTTGATTTTTAAATGTAATCAGATATGTACAGTCAAGGAAAGTACATCCAACAGGTCTGCTAATATTGTATTCTCTGATCGGCTTCTGCCTGCAAGACTTTATAGCACCTTTTAACAGGTTCTAGGTGTTCACTTCCAGAAAAAGCTGTAAGTTATAGTAATTTCTGTCTGTTTTCACGAGAACTCTATTTCAGGATTATGACAATTGGTAAGTAAAGGAAGAGGTCATGTGCCAGCAGGGATGAATTTTTGCAAATACTTCAATCTGTGTTAGTTCTAGTATAAGTTGTGAAAAATAGTGACCACTAAATACAACTGTATTTTGACATTGAATGTTTATTTTCCATAAAAATCTGAAATTGAGCATCACATAAAATATTGCAATTAAATATTATATTGATATAATATATATATTTTTTGCATATATATAATATAATTAACAAACATTGAACTGAAGTCTACATGTAGTGCTTGTGCAGTATTTTGCTTACGTTTCTGACTGCCCAAGGGGTTGGAAGGGACCTCTGAAGATCATCTGGTCTAACCCCCCTGACAAGGCAGGATCACCTAGGGCAGGTTGCACAGGAACACGTCCAGTCAGGTTTTGAACGTCTCCAGAGAAGGAGACTCCACAACCTCTCTGGGTAGCCTGTTCCAGTGCTCCGTCACCCTCACAGTGAAGAAGTTTTTCCTCATGTTGACGTGGAACTTCTGTGCTGCCGTTTGTGCCCATTGCCCCTTGTCCTATCACCGGGCACTACTGAAAAGAGACTGGCTCCATTCTCATGACAGCCACCCTTTAGATATTCATAGACATTGATAAGGTCCCCTCTCAGCCTTCTCTTCTCCAGACTAAACAGCCGCAGGTCTCTCAGCCTTTCCTCATGTGAGAAATGTTCCAGTCCCTTAATCATCCTCATAACCCTCCATTGGAGACTCTCCAAAAGCTCCCTGTCTCTCTTGAACTGGGGAGCCCAGAACTGGACACAATACTCCAGATGAGGCTGCACCAGGGCAGAGTAGAGGAGGAGGATAATCTCTCAACCTGCTGGTCACTCTCTTTTTAATGCACCCCAGGATACTATTGGCTCTCTTGGTGACCAGGGCACATTGCTGTCCCATGGATAACTTATTGTCTACCAGGACTCCAAGGTCCTTCTCCATGGAGCTGCTTTCCAGCAGGTCAACCCCAAACCTGTACTGGTGCATGGGGCTGTTCCTCCCCAGGTGCAGAACTCTACACTTGTCCTTGTTAAATTTCATGAGGTTATATCATATATCATGAGTTACTTTATATTTTATTAATGCCTAATCGTTTATGCATTCTAAAAGCAGAATCGGTCTTATGATCTAAAGGAGTAAAATATTCAACTAAATTAAAATACTGGTGCCTTAGACAAAAATAATTTGAACCAATGAGGAATGTAAAACGAAAATTTGCATGTGTGAGCCCGGGAAGTAATATGAGCAGATGCAGTACAGCTTACACAATGCACATAACCATTGTGGCTTTGTCTTATAAAGAGCCAAATTCTATCAAAGTAAGATTAATTTGATTATCTTATGTTTTTAGAACAAATATTGCATACTGGCTTTTCTTGAAATAATTGCAGGAGTATATTTGAAATTTACTTTCTGTATTGTAGAGTAATTTTATTTGTATGCTTTACAAATGTATTTCACCAGAAACAACATTCTTGTATATCTCTCTTGTCAAAGGAATATAGGAATGTGCAGGTTTATGCATGAAATACAGAGGTTCAGATATAATTTCTGGATTAAATCCTTCATTCACCAGATGCATTTTCTGATGCTTGGAAGTTGCAGTAATTTGCATGACATCCTAAAAAAGAAATAATTCAAGTAAAGTGCAATATTCCATTTCATCCTATATCAGTGAAAATATGATGCAATTACTGAATAGAATGGTTCATACAATTTTACTAAAGAATATCTTCAGTTAGAATGATCTGATTCACAGGTGCAGTGAAATCTAAATTTAAATGCAGCTTTTATTTCTTATTCATTTCTCTGTCAAAGCCACATGCAAGCTTGCAAGTTTCTGTTTCAAAATAAGCATTTTCTTTAACTTTCATTAGTGCAGCTGATCAGAAAAGCTGTGGGTTTTGGGGCACTTGGTAACGCTCTGCAGAGAGATGGCTGATTTTATGGTACTGGCTCTCCTCTAATTTCCAACGGCTAAACTTCATTTAAGACATTAAATACAAACATGTTAAATGCCTTCCTGTGTTGTTTTTCTGTGTAAGCAGTTGCTGTACAGCAGTTATTCAAATGCCAATTACTGAACGAGTTGGTCTGCACACAATAGCCAGTGTATGACAGCAGAAGTAGTATGTAAAATAATCTCATTTAAAATGTGGCTCACATTAAGGGCAAGTTTAAAACACACCGTTCTTGAGCATTGTTATTACTTGGACTGTGTTTTCAATGTAGCCAATATTTTCTTTTCGTTCTCATGCTGAAACAGGCCACTTTTCAGTTCTTACTTGTTTTTATGTTTTGATCTCTAACATGCCTGATTTCCTTTTCACACTGCTACTCCATTTCCACAACTCTCAGATCATTTAGTCTTTGGCTTCTGAGCTGAAACTGCTAATAATTTTGCCAGTTCATTCTCTCTTTTGGCAGCACTTATGACAGGAACCATACTTAGACCACCAAGTCATTTCACACAGACACTGAATAGCTGCCAGATGGTAATAAAGTTCAATTATTACCAAGTAGGATGGCTTCAAATTGAATAGCTAGCATAAATGTGTCTTGGTAATTATTTAAAAAGTTGCCATGATAAGAGTAAAAGTTTAATAAGGACTGATATTAAATATTTTTAATATGTATTACCAATACAGATTGCTGAGATTTCTCTTTAAATGATCCCCTTATTTTAATGAAGTCAGATTTTTTGACATGGAAATATGAGTTTTTGGGGGAAAAAACCCCCGACTAACAAAACCAAACCCAAAAACTCGAAAGCAAAACAGGGCACAAATAATACAAAACTGAAATCACTCCCTGAATACTCTTAGAAAACTCTTCCTAATGTCTTTCTGCAAACAAAAAATTAAATTAGCAAAATTCAAGTGGAAAAAATACTCAGAGCCTCGGAGTATCCCCCTTTTTTGCATCATTCTCCCTAGGCCTCTACTGTTCTTCTGGAGTCAAGTCAGAGAGGTTGAGAAAAACAACTGTCAGCCTGTCTTGGTTTTCACGAAATCAGTTAACCAGGGTTGCAAGTCATACTAGAGAGAGCTGAAAATTTTTCAAGATTTATTTTATCGTAAATCAAATTTTGTGTGAGAATTTCATATTTTTGTTTGTCACTCTTGATTAGGATGAACTCTTCCTCAAGACACATCTTTTTTTTTTTTTCAGAAGGGACTTCATTTTCTGTCCACTTAGAAAATTGTGAGTTCAATGTTCATCCTATTATCTTCCACTAAGATATTTTTAAAGTAACAACAAGTTTTTGTTTTAAGGATGTACACATGTTTAAGTATTCATTAATTAGTACTGATAGTATCTTTGGTAGTAAACTCAACTTCAATTAGCTAAAAAAAGCTTTATTCAGAGAACACATAAATAGGGTCAGGTTTAATCCATTCCACATATATAGACCCAGGAGCTCCATATAGATTTTCTCCATCTAACGGAACCATAAAGACAAGTCTGTTCCAAAGGTTTTTCCCGGAAGAGGGCACTGCTGTCCTGAGGCACCATAGATAGTATGGCCTATGCTAACTGCATTTGAAGATATATTTACTTAGTACAGTAACCTTTTAGTGGAAAAACTGTTCTCAATTCCAAGCTGTCTTAAAAATTATATTTCTCTCTAAATGTATACATTCTTTTTATCCTCTTCCTCTCCAGTCTTACTCAATCTGTTGTGTTCCCATCTTGCTCTCAATCAAATTTGTGCCTTTCAGACAATTTGTCAATATTTAGGGAGAGGCAAAACTGCTGAATGCTTCTCAGTATCCCATAACAGCAGAAAACTGTCTGCTAGAAACTTTCAGAAGATGTAATGTGGGGGTCTTTCCTGCTCTTTGCAGTTCTTGCTCTCCTGTCCTGTTGCTGAAGGTCATCCTGTGAGGATTACACAAGGAATGAAACACACTAGTTAAAGATTAAGAGCTTTGAAACAAAATCCAACTTTGCCAAGTTATTAATCACATTTAGTATTTTTAGGTATGAATGGAACTTTAAAGCAAAATACAAGTTTAATTCATCAAATATTTGCTTAACTTCATAATAATAATAACAACAATAATTCAGACTAGTATTACCTTTTGTGTTTCAATTCTTGAAACTGTTTGTAAATTAATTCCTTCATTCCGTGATTGTAGAGACCAATTTTCAGGTCAGACAGAAGACAAAGACAAGTAGGAGGCAACTCATTGTCTTACTATGATTCTCACAAAGTGTGGCTGGGCATAACTTGGAAGGAAGTCCACAACATGCTTATAAAGTCTTTCTCCATTAAAGGATTGGCCAGGTTTAAGCACAATAGCTGCTACCCCTGTTCTTCCTTCATAGTCTAAAAAAATTGAAAAATATTATGAGAAGTAAGAGTGTATGTGAGTCTTATATGACATTTGGAGGGATTTAATATTGATCAGAGCAAATATTTTGATATTGTGAAATATCTGCCCTATCCTCTCAGACATCATTGAGTGTAAGACACATAATACTTTATACTGGAAGACTTAAAGTTACTTTCAGTGTTTTTATTCAATTAAAAAAATGCTACTTTTGTTAGCAATTCTGTATCGCTGGCAGTTGGCTGCTAGGTTTTCTTCCTACCTTGCTCAATCTTAACATTAGTAACATAGTGGCCTAGTGAAATCAGAGTGACCATTGGTTCAATAAAAAGCTGAACGCACCTCCAAAATGACTACTGCAAAAGATGGACGTAGACATGTATTAGGCTGTACTTGGTCTGTATAAAGTCTAGTGGCTATTGTACATTGTATACGCAGTGCTGAGTGTTTTCTGCTCTATTCCACAGACAGATTAGTGACAAATAGGGCAAATGCCTCCTAGTAAATCACAAGCAGCAAATTATGTTTGACATGAAAACAGAAATAAAACCCTTTAAAAAAAATGTAACAAACATAGTTTCTGCTTTCTTTTTAATTGAACACAAGTAAAAATTCCAAATGGAGAAAATATCTAAATTTGAAGAGATGAGCTGCCATGGTTAAATCTGTCCAGAATGAAAGAGCAGCTGTGAGGTGTGGCCAAGGCACTGGAAGGATAAAATATGGGTATTCCCTTTTCATGAAACTTAACTTGCAGTTGTTTAATTGGTAATATGCTATAAAGTTTGTTTTGGTAATATTTGAGACTCAGGTTGATTCAGAAATATGAAAGACTATGCTATCTAGTTTTTTTTTTTAACAGTACAGCCAAGAATGAATGTGATTCTTAAGCTCTTCAGGTTTTGTTTTGATGTGCTATTCACTACCTGAAATAGCAGTAGCCCTTTGAGGAGTTCTTGTCAGCTCCAGCTGTAGATGAAAATGAGATAGGCTTTCCAAGTTTGATTACAGTTTTATTTGCATGCACTTGAGGATGCCATCTCTCACAAATGAACATATTTGCATTTGACAGCCACCTGCTGATAAACCATTCAGATTATGGCCTTTGTCATTTTATTTTCATATATCCTCTTTATTTGAATCCATTGTGTCTCCCATCAGTGCTAAGTAGTAGCTTGTCTTTTGATAGCTTCTTCATGTGACTAGTTTCTTTCAATACTAGACTTTGTTTGCCTTATCCAAAGGAAACATAGGACACCTATTCAGCACCACAGGAAAGTTTGCCTTCATCAACCTGTTCATTCAACAGATGCATCATCTGAGCAGTTTTCCACCTCATCTTGTAATTTAGTCACCTACAGTTTTTCAGTATGGTATTGTATGTTTTTATGAAGCACCATATGTGATTTGGAATTATGAAAAAATACATATCTTCTAGGACTGTACTTTCAAGATAGTGACAAGTGTTTTCAGACATGTCATCTTCTAATATGCCCCGTTTTACCATTTTTCAGATGAAAGCCTGTAGCCTAAGAGAAGTCTTCTGTAGTTTATAACTTTGTACTTCTCACATCTTTGTTACAAGTTTTAATTCATCCCAATGTTTCTGCCATTCATTACAAAATTTCAGCATGTCACGTTTATTACGTACAGCTTTTTACTGAAACTGAAATTTCAAAGGACTGTAGAAAAGCCTGAATTGCTGAGTTGACACCATTTATTTCCTTACATATAAGTATGCATTCTGTTGCAAGAACAGAAATGATAGAGCAGGAAATTGCTATTTTAATTTTGTATTCTCTAACTATAGGAATGTCTTACTTCGTATGCTTACACTGTAAACATTAACTTCTTGGACAAAATCCATCATACCAATGATCTCCACCACTTCTACAGTGGCAACATTTTCTCCTTTCCACCTGTTGAAAATATTTTTTAAAATAATGTAGATATTAGCTAAGAAATTTTTATTCTATTCATGGCTATATGTGATGGAGCACTACTTTTAATGTGAACTACTGTTATTCTTAACTGAAGAGTGTAGATGGATAAATCCTCTTCTGATTTAGTGCCACCGCATTTGAGACCCCAAACTTAAAAGAAATAGAAGTGCTATTTGACTCAAATTTGAAAAATTCTACTGGGTTGGTGTGAACTTCGGTGGACTTTAATTGTGATTCTTAATGTTTCTGTTAAAACAAAATTGATATTCATCAGGTTCAAGTCTGAGCTGTGTCATCTTGTCCTGAATATGGTTCATTCCAAGCTCACAGGATTTACTGTTAACTCCACTATACCTGAAAGTGTCTCCCACACGGTCAGTGGAGGAAGCCATCCTCATCCACCACTAAGAGGTCTCCTGTGTTAACATACACATCTCTTTTCACAAACACATTACGCAGGAGTTTATTCTCTGAGGCTTCATCATTTCCAGCATATCCAGAAAATGGGGCATCCTGAGTATCTTGGACAATGAGAAGACCAGATTCACCTGCAGGCCATGAAAAGGGGATGCAAAAGTCCATATTTACAGTGAGCCATTTAGAACATAAAGTATTATATTAAAAATCTTTTGGAAAGCCACATCTGTTCTACTCATCTTATTGCTACATTTCTGTAACTGTTTCCTGAACAATAGAAATAGGTGAGTGTAAGAAGGAACATGATGTTAGGGCAGAGCTTTTTGGAGTACAGTGTACATCACTTACCCTGAAAAGCATTTGCCCAGTGAAAGGATGATGATTCTGTCATTTGAGAAGGGTCCTGGTAGTGAAAGAGTACACATGGGGACCTGACCTCTTTGTGCTTTATGTTTTTCTGGAGGACAGGGTTGCTACTGCTCTCAGTACTGTGCTGGTGTGGAAGCAAGCATTGCAAGCCATAATCTGCCTGAGCCTCTTAAATATCAAGGAGTCCCTGAAGTCTGCAGCATATCCCTACCGGGCATTACTCTATACGGGCTGTATAAGTCCCATTTATATCAAGGGCAAAACATCCATTGACTTCACTGGAATTGGCTCTGAATACCCTTTTAAAATGCTTTTTTTATTATTCCATAGCTATGATAGATGCTGGCTTATTTCTCAGTCTGTTCCTGAGATTAAAAGACATTTCCATCTTCTAAAGATTTTTATTGTTTTTCCTTCAACTGACGTGTGGAGGTATTTCCAAACAAATAGTTTTTTTCATAGCTGTGTATCTGCCTCCCATATTAAATCCTCGTTATTGTTTTGAACTCTACATGTGGAAAGTAGAATGAAAGCTCGTATTACCATTCAGAAGAGGAGCTGGCATTGCTGCAAATAGGATGCCTGCTTTATAACAAAATAAAAACCAAACCAAAAATGTTGTATTTAAAAAAAGAGTTGTCCTAAGCCCCAGTCAGTTTTACAGGATGATTCTCTATTCCAGTTTGGGAATTTACTGTCGTTACTGTCTCACGTTACATCAAGTGATGACTTCAGAGTTATCTAAAAAGTATGTGTAACAACTTGCAAAATTTTTCTAGTTGTGTCATGAAACTGGGTGTTTTATCAATTTCACTGAGAAACCAAGAATTTTTGTCCAGTTTATAATGTAGCTGTAGTGAGGAAGCAAGCGCTTTTCAAGAAAATAAATAGTAATTCTTTTGCTTGATTTCAATACTATCAGCAAATAATGTATTATCAGCAAATAATGTATTATCAGAAATAATCAATAATCAATAATTGCTGCTTTGATGACCAGTACTACTATGTGTCACTGAAATCTGACATTAGCATGACAAATATTGTTATCTGTGTTGCTCTAAAAGTCTCTTTTTTGACTTCTGGAATTTTATCTCAATTATAGTTAAATCTGTATACTGAAACTAGTGATGTTAAAGACCTTTTTTCTGGAACTGTTAACTTTAACACACACGGATTCATGCATGTGTACGCAGACAAACAGATACTTAATGTGACTTTAGTAAAATGCAGTGCTATGTCCTTTTTGAGAGTCAGTTTTCATGATTTTTTTTGAAGATATTCTCAGCTGTCAGGCCATCCTATCTTCAGCCTGGGATCTTTCAGTAGGGATATTCCATTCTAAGTAGGAGTTTGGAGATTCTATGCAACTCCAGGTACTAAATAGTTAAATCTGGTTTTGTACATGTAAAAATATAAAAAATATAAAAAATAATATCCAGATTTTGAAATGGTACTGTCCTTCCTCAGAACTTCAAATTTGGAAATTAGAAAACCTCTGTAAACCTCTGGCCTTCGAACACAGCATAACTAGGAATTACTGTGTCCATTTTATTTGGAAAACAGTAAACATGAAGAAATCTGGTTTGTTCAGGAATATGAACAAGTTTTTGCGTGTGAGAATAAAAACTATCTGAGCCCAGAATATTGATTATGTTCTTATATTATTGTATTTTTGGATATTTGGGTATATTATAAATATTTGGATCTGTTATTGGGTATATTAGCAGTAGATCCCTATGTGGATCTATTGATAATAAATTTTTCCTGTGTCATTTTCAAGTTCTAAGTGTATGTCAAGAACTTGTTGCTCACAGAACAGAGAGTTAGTTCCTGCCCCAAAATATCACCGTCTAAACTGAGGTATCTGTTAGTTAATAGATAACTAATATTTTTCCTTACCTGTGGCTGCTTTCTTACACCTTCCATTTTCATCCTTCATAAATTCTTGTTTCCAGACATCATACTTCAACCACTCAGAAGAATGTAGTAGCTAAATAAAAAAAGTGCATACACATACTTAAAAACCTCACTGTTTTACTCATTTTCCAATTGTTCTGATAAAAATTGCTTTGAATTAATGGATAGTACCCTATTGACTTTGGAAGATTTGGAACAGCCTGAAGATACTGCCAGTATTCTGAGAAGCAGTTGTCAGAAAGTGTTCACAGCATGCTAAGGAACACTAAGTATACATATACAGATGAAGTGTTCATCTGTTTTATCAATAAAAAAGAAACCCATTGTTTTAGAGTGTGGTCAGGTTCAAATCATTTATATAAAATGAAACAGTGCTTTTGATCAAATTGTCAATTTTGTTTTAAAACTACTGTACATTTCTAAATAGAGGCTTAACATTACTGGAATGCAAATCTAGAAGATTCTCTGATAAAAAGTCCAAATTAAATTTATAGATATCTCAAAAATTTCTCCAGCTGGATCCCAGGGGAAGCATACAGCTCAATGGTTTGATTTAGGTTTTACTGCCTTCATCTCCTGTCCATAGAATTAAGATTGCTAAGAGGTGGCTCCTCCCGGTGCGACACCCCCACACCCCCAGCCGCCGCACTTCCCACCATGCTGGTCACACACCCGTGGGACCCACCTGCCTGCTTCAAAAAGGTCTTGTCACACCATTTTTTAATTTCCCTGGCCCCAGCCATGTACACCTCCTCTTTAGTTAAGATTGCTAAGTTCAAAAGCATTGCAGAGTTGTTATGGCCATGGGAAGGCATTTTTGGCATCCCAGATTAAAAGCAGAAGTAGTTTGGAAAGCATTAATCTCCTTTTGATGTTAACTGCTCTGAATCTTTAGTAACATTACAGTATTTTATTGTAGTATAATGTTGACGGTTCACAAAGAGTCTCTACAAATAGGAAAAGCATTTGAATACAAATAGGAAAAGCATTTGAATACAAATAGGAAAAGCATTTGAGACTGTCAAGGCATTTTTATGGGTGGAAGATGTATATCTCTAATGAGAGCTTCAACAGTAGTCATATATATAAAGTTTATAGTTTAGATATCTTGAAATGTGTATTTTTCTCCTTTATTTGCTGAGAATTTTGAAATTTTTTTTGCTAAAAAAATTTTTGCTTCTCTTATTTCAGAGAAGAAAATGTTATGCTTGTTTTAATGTGTGAAGATGGAGTCAAAGAGTAAATCTGTGTAAGTTTGCTCTGGAACATATATCTCCTGATTCATACCAAAAGTCAAATCAAAACTAATTTCTGCCTCATCACTCAATACCTGTGGGTTTTCAGGATGGTAAGTAAACTTCAACAAAAAACATCATTAATCAGTCCTGTGGATAGGCATTTCTATACAGGCAGGGAGTTTTTAATATTCTGGGGAAAAAGTTTGGGTACACGAAGCAGTAGTTTCAGCTTCGGCAGACTTGTTTTATATGTTTATTCTAGCTTCACAATATATGTGCGGAGAACAGTGTCAAGTAAGGGGCTAAGAATAAGGTTTCTGTTTCCACGAACAAAATTTTGCTACATCTGGACTGTAGTAAGCAGGTTCTTCCTTGTACATTTTCCTGTTCTTTATAATTTCTGCTTTTCATATGCTTTGGTGTTTTTTTTTTTTTTTTTGGTTGGCTGGTTAGTTGTTTGTTTGGTTGATTTGATTACCTTTGAGAAGATGCCAGCATGACCCACAGCTCCTATTTTATTAGTATAGTTCAAGAAACCAAGATTTCCTTCTGTGGATCTGTAGAATTCAAATATTTTGATTGGGCCAAACCTCATCAGAAATTCTTTCCAGACAGCAGGTCTGATACCATTTCCTAGAGCAATGTGTACTTTGTGAACTCTGTCGTCTTCTTTCCGTGAACAGCCGAAAAGAAACATTCTGCAGCTGAGAAAAGTGGGTCTAAATACCTAGAGTTGGTCTAAAACTTCCTAATAGAATAATTTTCCTTTAGAAACTGCCACTTTCACTAAAATACTTCACAGAAGGGTATTTGTTTTGTAAAAATGAAACAGATAATCATCAGAATGCTTGTTGGTCTGAGGTTGAAGGATTTTTGTAAGGTGAAAACTTTATTTTTGTAGTTCTTTGTATTTTCACTTTAAATTATATAACTGAGATTTATATTACAAAGTTAAAAGGAATTATTTTATCTTGAAAATGTAGAAAAATAGGTTTTAGGTAAGTGCCATTTCCCATACAATGGAAATTCCTTTCTGAATCAAAGAAAGGAATTTTTCTGCATAAATAAAATCACATCTTAGAAAATACTTGTGCAACGCTATGGTCAGTTCTACATGTAATAGTATTTGGTAGTAAATTTTACGCATCTACTGTGTTGCCTAAGGAACCTGAAAAAGTAGCAGAATTAGTTAAAGCTCCTTATCATATCTCATATGATTAAGTGCAGTTTTTAAACTTAAATTAAAATTCAGAAAAGATGGTAATAAAATCTGCCATCAAAATGTAGTTGTTAATGTGTCATTGTTACATGTCAGTTGTGTCATTATTGTGGTAAACTACTCAAATGCTTACCTACGTAACTGTTTTCTGCATTGGGCCAGACTGCTCAGTACCCTATATATAGGACTATAATCAAGACTGATTATAGAAAAGCCCCCACTTTTTTTGGAGATACAGCTGTGACTGAGTGATTAAGTTACTGCCATGGCTGAATGCAGCCATGCAGCAGAAAATAAAATTATTTCAGGTCCACAGGAACAGTTTCTTCAAACCAAATAAATGCAATTTTTTTTCCATTTCAGTGTTATTCTATGCTTTAAAAATTGTAAACATATATTTGATTTCTAAATAATATTAAAGTGATTACAAAATGGAACACTGCCTAAGAACTACACTGCAATATTTTAGCAGAATCTGTATTTCAACTTTTCTATGTTTAAAAATATTGTCGCAAGATTACTTTGTGAATCCTGGATTAACAGACAATTTCATTTCATCCATAACTGCATTTTATGACAGATAAATTATTTGCCACAATAGGATCAGCTGTAATGCAGACTAAACTCCACTTGTTGAAGACAGGAGGGGAGACTTCTCTGGTTCTGCTTATTGAACTGTTTTCTTTCACAGTTTTAATGGTAAACCTAAAAGAATAGCATAGTTTGATCACATGTATGTGATCAAATCCAACTATGAACCAGTTGGCAGGCTGATTGGGAGAGTTACTTCATGCCTAATATTGTCCCTTCTTCAGCACTTGGTCTTGAGGATGAAATAATGGATTTTATATATATATATATTTTTTTTTTTTTTTTTCCCCAGACTAGCTGATGAGGCTGTAGGACTTAGGTAAATCTCAGGAGCTTAAGAGACTATAAGCATTGGAGAAACTGTTACGCTTACTTTGTTTCATCCCTGGTGTAACAATCCCTGAACTTCCCTGAATTACCTTGTGCGGGAGAAGGATGGACTTCACAACT